GTCATCATTTTACCTTGCTCTTTAAAAATAATATAGATAAAAGTATTATTACAGAAACATTTTTCAAACAAGCTCAGATCTATATATTTAGGAACACTACAAAGTAGTTTGAAGCAATTGGTAAGCTGCTGCACTGAATAACATATATTATTGTTCTATCTGTGACCACTACCAGAAATGTCCAAGCATAATGCTTATTTGATATGGGCACAAAATGTCCCATGGGAAATCCTAGAGGAAGTTGTTTTTGGAAAGATATCTAATTTATCCTGTCCAGGGTGTTGTTCAACTAGGAGTGGCACACTCCTTTCTTTCCTTTATATGACAAAGTCATATTTATTCATAATGTCAGGTTGCTTGCCTGTAACTGTCGTTCTTCAAGTGATAAAGTATGAGTGTGTTTCTCCACATTTAGATTGATTTCAGAGTATTTTCACATATTTTACTAAAAGTCAGATCCAACTGTAGCTTTGACTACATCAATCTTGTGGATTTTAATTTTGCTTTATTTAAGTTGGGTTTGCATTTATTTATAGTCACATGTTTCCTTATGTAGCTATATCATTCTATGTAGCTGCATGGTTTCCTTTTTAGCTATTTGTTTTCTGATGGTCTGATGACTATATATAAATAAATTTACCTTACAGTTAAAGTGTACAAATCATTTAGAAGCAAACTACCAAGAGTGAATTAACCAACTTGTCTTCTATAGAGTGGTTTCCATTGTTGACTTTCAGGCAACCATTCCTGAAACCTATTCATTTACCTGCCCACTAACACATCTGCAAATGCACCAACTAAGAGCCCAGCACACGGGGTACAGAACCCCTGCATGATATAAGAAGCATGAACGTGCGTGCGAACTTGAGAGGGCACATGAGGGCACAGCATTGTCTCTAGCAACCCCACATTTATGGAACTCTCTAATATTTAACATTTACTGGAACCTTTATAATATTTAACATTTACTGGAACATTGTCTGTAGCAATCCCACATTTATGGAACTCTCTAATATTTAACATTTACTGGAACCTTACAGAAGGCCTTAAAATAAAATGCTGCATTATCTTAAGAGTGAACATGTCACCTAAAGCACTTTTTTCATGGATCTATTTTTCTGAGTCTCCTGCCCACTTACACAATCTGCTTAATATGCCATTGTTTCATTCACTTTATGGTAGCATGGACTCAAAAAGTGTCTCATAAATACTTGGAATAAATAAAATACAACTCTGAAATAGAAGAAGTAAAGTTAAGATTAGTCACAGTAAATTGCTTATTCTATGCATTTTGGTATCTGAAAGTACATAAGGGAAGAAACATAACAAAATGTTGTGTACTGTGTTCTGGTATCAAAGCTATATTTTATACTTTCAGAACTTTTTCTATACCATCTTAGTAGAATTTTTACTCTGAAAGGCAGATGAACATATTTCAAAAAGAAAAAATGTTGTGCATATGCATGTCAAGGAATGCCCAACCGTGCTATTCAAACTATCTTTCAGACAAATGTGTAAGCCATTACTGATCTTCTCATTGTGGAATGATTGCTAAGCTTCCATAGAAGTCCCAGAACACAGCATGAAAACCACTGATCAAGAGGCAAATGAAGAGAAATTTCCTGCAGCCTCCCACCCTATCTAGATCCCTGGTGCTCACAGTGCTTATAGCAGGATGGGGCAGGGGTAGCTTTTCCACCACTTCATCTGCATTAGTGTTATTTTATCTTTTCCTTTAATTGAAACCAGTGGGGAAAATTAACCCCAGGGCTACTGGGGGAACAAGGGGGTTTCTAATTCTGTGGATCTAAGGCCTTACCTAACACACTTTGTTCTGAGCGCTACCATCTCTAGCAACAGTGGTGGAGTTTTCTGCTGCCACACTGGGAAGCTTTCCAGCCAGGAAGGTGGAGGTTCAAAGAAAGCTGCAGGCCCTCAACTGCCTTCCCAGGGAGCACTGGGTTCCTCCTTACGTGTACTTTGGTTTTATGAAAACTTGAATAGCTTTAAATGTATTTTCCATTCCATCTAGATAGGACCAGTTATCTTCTACTCCATGTGTCACTTTGTTTTTAAAGTATACAATTCAATAACTTCCTTTATTTCTCAGAAGTAACTCATGGAAGCCACCCTGATCATTACACAATGAGCCTTGTATTTCAAAGAAGCTAATACAGCTACTGGACTTTGAAAGGAATTCAGGAACCCTGAATTAGAACCTGCCATGGGAAGTCCAGTCCTTTCCGAACTGAATGCAGAGATGAATTCAGGCTGAAATATTTATTTGTTATTATTTATTTATTAACAATATTTGGCTTACAAACATCTCAGGATGGCTTACAATATTTCAGTTCAGACATTCCTCTTTTATACCTCTACAACCTAGAAAGTTATGTTTCTAGGTTCTGAAAGTTCTCTCATCATCAATAAATCTTAGATGCATAGCTAACCTGTGCTGCTGCTGTTTTAGTTCCTCACTGCACTTTCACTATGTCCTTTTTGATCTGCATAAGGCCAAAGGTGTCTCTGCCAGAGATTTTTCCTGTCTCCTTCTGAAGCCCAGCTTATTGGGAAAGCAGAGGATATTATAGCTGGAAAAGTATTAGCTTTTAGGTCTCCAGTTGCAAGACCTGTGCCTACAAACCCATCCCTTAAATGTCCAGGGAAGAAGTGTCGCCTGTGAGCAAAAACAAAACTGGGGCAATTTAATAGCAAAAATCACCTGGAATTATACGTATTTGTTAGATTTGAAGACTCATGTCTGGATACAGTCCATAGTCTGCTTCCTTTTATTTTCTTCCTGTTGTATTGTCCTTGGACAAAAGCCAGTATTTTGGCTTTAGGCCTTTCTTGATGAGATTGGGTTTATTCCAGGTAATAAAATTTAGCACCTGTAAACAACAGAACTAAGATCCTCTCTCCACACACTAAACAGTACAATGCTTGAAGCATTCTAGCTGAAAACAAAACAACAACCTGTCTTGTCTCTTCTCATGACCAAATGAAATTTTGTTTGACTTGGTGCCACATATCACTGGGCATCCACTAGTTCAGGGAAAGAGGACCTAGAAAATTGTACAGGTAATGTTGAGACACACAAAATAGGTCAAATGATTTTTCACTGAATACCTTTTAGTACTAATTCCTAGGCTTCCATTTTTAAATGGAATTGTTTGGTTTGATGTTGTAGTTCGCTGGATTACCCCATTGCACTAGACATCATTTCCCCCTAACCTTCAGAGTTGTAAATCAATAAGGCTGTACACATTTTAAAACTCTGTAGTATAAAAGATAAGCACATGAAAATATCCACTAAAACTGATCAAAATAATAAAATTTTTGAAGGTACTTTCCATATTTAGCACAATTAACTTTAAACTTATTTATAAATAAGTGTTGCGCCTTCTGCCAACAAGCACCAATAATATATCTGCTGCTTGTTTGAATCCAATTTTTAGTAATCAAAATAATGAGGGAATCTACATGTGCAAGCCCGTTCTTGAAAATTGCCATTAACTTTAATGCAAACATTCTACAATTACTTATAACCATTTTTGTTGATTTATTTCTAAGATTTATACCCAGCTATATATTCTGCCTGATGGAGTTTCGTGAAACTCTTCACATACTTACTTTCTTTCACTAAAAGGCATAATTTTCCTACTCTGTATCTGCTTTTCCTAAAGACCCGACAACTCCAATAATGTTGTGAAGAACAAAATTGTTCTAATACACTGGTCTATTTTAGTACACACTGAAATTATGGTAAATCTTCACAATTTCTAGTTATTTTCATGCTTCATTAGGTTGAACAAAATGCAATACTTTTAATGTGCTAGACTCCAGAAAAAATAAAATAGAATCAGAGATAAATAGGAGAAAACAACAGTTTACAGTATCCAATAATGCATTTAGAAAGTTTGGATTACAAATAAAAACAATCATGCCAATTGCTTGTATTCTAATACACTATAGTAAGTACAAGATTTAAAGGAAAAGAGTATAATGACACCCAAGTAAATATGCTCTTCTTGTTCTATACATCTTTGATATGGGCCTAGATGCATCTGCTAGAGTAAAGCAGCTTGCTTAAATTCATTAGAAAACATTACCTGTGGCATAGTTTTGGCATGGCAAAGTAAGTTAACCAAACTGTTTTAACACTATACATTATGCGGTCTTAATTCTGCATTTGCAGTTCACAATTATTTTCAACAGTTTGATGTTAAAATGGGTCCTGTGTATTCACCACACTAGGAGTCATGCATATACAGGAGCATGTATATCCCCTGCCAGACAGAGAACTGCCCAGGCAAAAGATACTCCATTACATAGACCGGTGTGTTAGTCTGGGATTCCACATGGAACTAGCCCACATTTAGGTACTCTGACTATTGTAGATCAGCTCACAGAAGCACAGAATAGGAGGAAACTGGATTCCATCTTCTTCCAGTCTACGGTTCTTACCAAAAGGTTGGTTTGTATTGGTTAGAGTAGCTGGCTGGAGCTAAAACTACTGAACTCTAGCTCTGAGTGTGCATTGGTGTGCCCCTTACTCAGGAAAAGTGCAGTTATAGGAAGACAGCTCACCAATTGTGTTGATTATCATCACTGTTAATGCTATCTTTCAGGCAACAAATCCTACCAAGACAGATTATGGATAACACAAAAAAATAACACAATCACAATAAACAATGTTAACAGTTAAAACAAATGCAATCTCCCTCTCTCTCTCACACACACACACACACTCACTCACTCACAAGCCTCCTTCCCACAGGGCAGTTTGTAGAAAATAGCCCTGTGGCAGGGAGAGGCCACCTGGAACACAGACCGTTTTCTAGTTTCACTATCATCTACTTCACACTCCTGGATTCTTCCCACAGACCAGCTAATGGCAGAAGATTGTGCCAGATGATGAGGAAGAGTAACCTGGGACAGGCTTCAGTTCTTCTCCACTGACCTCTCTCCCACTCTTCAATAATCAATAACGATGCCCAAATAGTGATAAAAGTACATGAGACAAAATTTCTATATAGAAGAGTAGTTTATTACTTAAACTTATGTACAAAATCTAAGCATGAAAATAATGAGAAACAGAGCAGAATATTTACAATATTGTTTTTACATTTTTTTACAGGAAACATTATTCTCTCAAATAGCATCTCTCTCTCTCTCTTTCAGACAGAGAGCAAGAGAGAGAGAGAAATTAACCCTCTTCTGTATAACAAATATAAATAAATACTGACTTTTAAATGACTGTTGTGAGAACATGATTTCTACAGCCAATTTAGTTAACAAATAAGTAGCTCCATTATCTCCACACTACATTATACTTACATAAACAGGGAAAAATGTACATACAGAATCTCTGTTAATTACTTTGCAAATTGTACCTTACCAATATATTCAATAGAGGTAAATACAGCCACACGCTTCATGCCTATAACTGAATCATGATTTTTGGCATGCAAAACCATGTAGATCCATCGACATCTGTAGGTATTAATTTATTTTTAAATAACGTTTTGAAATTAAAAAAAACATGCAACAATTTATAAGCATCATATTCCTAAGTTACAATGTACAGGTGTGTATCATACTTATTGTTACTTGTGTGTCCACAGGTATTGATCATTTAAGAACACTCAACACCAAGAATAGGATAAGAGGAAGGTATTGTAATTTAAAAATAAATAAGCTAGTATCACATCTGCCTTTGTAACCCCTTTAAAAAAGGAACATGTATTGGAATGAAATCATTTAGGCCTTGATCCTATATTGTTCTTGTAACTAAATCCTATCCTTGTATAGACAAGCACTGTGCGCACTGTGATACAATTCTGTGATTGCAAGGCAGTTTAAACATCCATGTAACAGTTCTCAAAATCTACTTTGTATGACACTCAAAACAGATATCAATGGGGGTTTTACTCTCCTTGTTCAGGGATGTGCGTGTAATTTGATTTCTCAAGTCATGATTATTTGCAGCTGACTGCACCAATCAACTCTGCCAAACAGCACTGTATTGGCAAGGATAACATGTTGCTGCATTTTATTGTGCAAGTGATCAAAGGGTGCGAATTCAGGTATGAACCATCCTATAACACCTGGAGACACAGACACAATGTATGCCAAAAGACCAGGAGGACTCACCACTACTGGAATGGGGAGCTAGCAGTTAAAAGTGGCTGGAAACTTGCACAAATGAACAGGGCAGATCTACAGAGCTTGCTAAAGGGAGCATACAAATAATTTCAGTCTTTTGACATGTTTTTGCACCATCATGTCACTATAATCAAGTGACATGAAAGCTATATCTGTCATACTAGAACTGCAACAGCTGTTTCAAACATATAAGAAGGAACCAGGCCTGTATATTCCAATCATGGAGTAAGTGCTTTCAAAGCTCAGAAATGCCCATGGACTAAGTCAAGAGCAACTCTGCCTTTGCTTTCCTATTTGTAACAAAAAGGCCAGTTGAATATTAGCATGGCATCCCTTGTCTTTAAAGCTCTGTTTTAATGTTCTATCACTTTTCTAGGAACAGTATAAAATTACACAAAGAATCCTCTTTTTTAAAGAACAAATGAACCTGGATGCATTCAGCTCCTTAAAATGATCAAAGACATAAATAATAAGAAAAGTGGTACAACCCTTTAATTTTTCACTAGGGAGACGGAAAGGGAAGACTCACTGATTTTTATAGGATTTAGAACTATCAGAATGTTACATTAATCAAATGCTAAGTATAGGTATAAAGATTCAGGGTATTTAAATATTTCCTGTCATCCATATGAAATCACAATTTCAAAACAAAACAAACAAGAAAAAGTGATTATCTGTAAATCTAAAAGCCTGACCCAGAACTACATTGCTGAAATAAAATATGTGGAAATTGTTTAGGCTAAAATTTGAATGTAGTACTCCTAATATTAGTCAGAAAGTATGCTTTTCTTTTTAAAAATATTTAATTTTTTTCTTTTTAAAAATTCTGGAGGTCCTCAGAGGTGCTGTTTGGTGCAATAGAATGATAAGCATCATTCTAAGAACACAGGCATACAGTCTTCTCTGGATGTAGACTTCCAGTCATTTACACTGAAGAATTGCATGGACAGTCTTCTGCATGCACAAAGATGCTCCCTTTATTGAAATGAAAAAGCCAGTGCTGCTTGGAGTACTCATTGAGCACACTGTTAGATGCAAGTAAATTTGTTAATAGTGGTGAAAAAGGTAACTGAAAAAGGTAACTAGAATGCAAGGATAAATAGGACCTGTTTGATAAACCACTACTTAAGGTATTATACTTAGGAATCAAGTCATTTATCCAAGAACGGCACTGTATCCTTATGTTCAATGTCAATCTTTTTATAGGTTTGTCTTGGTGACATTGAATGGCATTTGGTCATGACTATTAAGCTAAACTATTTTAGTTTCTGGATTTTAACCATTACTACTGCTTTAACTAATTTGTGTCTCCCACTTATAATAGCCACTGACATTAATATATGTTATTCAGCAAGCAGAATTCCCAATTAAATGTGTATGCAATATAGCTATTCAAAACTGCAGAAACTTTGGCCACATCTATGTTGCATCTATCTAAAATTGAATGTTGGCATTCACACCTACATGGTTGGAAATTGTCCATCCACAAAAATTCAGCATTATTTGTGTATTAAAAGTTTTATTTATTTCATCTAGTGCATTCACTTTCTGCCACTCTTATCTGGGATTGGCAAAATTCACATGTAAATGCCAACATTTATTAACTTTAAGACATACTGATGGCTTAAGAAAGGATACCTTATATCATGTAATATCTGCTGCTGTGTGTTAATATCGGCTTCATAAAACAAATACAGAATTTATGTCACTTAGTTCTGTGTCTTTTGACAGCTAATCACAGGTCCAGATTTTTAAATATACATATACTTATATATGTATAAATCAAACTGGTAACAGCTTAATACAGGAATGTTGGTTTACATTTATAGGTTTAAAACTCTGTATAATACAAAAAAAAATGAAAAAGAGAGTTATACAAACTGAGAAGACAGTGAGTGTCCTACGGTTTATACTATGATGCTAGTAAATCACTATACTTAGATATTCTTTAATTTTCATAGATGTTGAATGTTTCAGTTACATGAATACAGTTGATCATTGCATGAAATACTTTATCCTAGAATTAGTACAAACATGCTTTCTTCAGTCCATATTATGTAGATATCTTTATTCAGTTCAGATAGGATAATCATCCACTAGAACATAGATCATTACATACTTCAATATAGATGCATTTTTCTGATCTTCTTGTGAGAGCTCAGTTTATATTCTTTCCCAGCTAGTTAATACTCTAACACAACTTAGTATTTTTCAGGTGGTGGCTTATAGTGATGTGGATGATGTTGCTTCAGATGAGGCCCTAAAAAGGAACAAATTGTTAAAGTAACCCTAACCCATAAAAATCAAAAATAATATATTGTATTGCATTAATCAAAAGAATATATAAACAGGTTTACTAATTGTAATAACTGCTTGTGTAAATATGCTATGCTCTATAGGCATATTTATACATGCAGTATAAAGTACCTGTAAGGTAAGGTACCTGTTATATGCATTGATATTTGTTCAGAAGCTCCACTTTTAAACATTATTTGATCATCAACCAAACACCTTCCCTAAACCACTTAATGTTATTCCGGGAGACTGTTTAAACAATACCAGACAGGAGCAAAGCATTCCATATACAATGTGTACAATACTAGCTGATTCATGTCCCTAACCTTTGCATTTACAAGCTTTATTTTGATTTAATCAATAGGAGTTTCCATGATCCAAGTTAGCTAAGTTACTGAATATTTTGTTTGATTCCAGTCCAAGCATGCCTTAAATCATGAGATCATCTGCTTGTATCATACTAAGTGCCCTTAAATCCAAACCCTTACAATGACTGCAGAACACTTCATTACAATGATTCTTCCTGATTCCGCTTCAACTACTTTTAGCACCAAGCTTCTCATGACATTTTCTGAAACTGTCCATGTTGTCTTTCACATGAACATTTCTGTGCCAATGCAATTCTAATCTTCTCCATTATGTACAGGCATCCAAACACCACTACACCATTACTCCAGTGCATTCATTGCTCTTCTTTCTGCAAATGAAAATCCTCCTTCTCCATCTGCTCTTGATCTAGAAATCGTAAGGAAATAATTTCCAAGTATGCAATAGAAGTGAACTAACACCTTCTCTTTCTGTCACTATTTCTAGTAAAATAAGAACATGGCATTCTTTGAATTTAAAGTTGGTCTGTGCTTCTGAGCCAATTTCCTCTTGGTATGGAACCCAGTGTATGATCAGTCATGTGCACATCTCTGCCAAGATTCTACTATTTCCTTGTCATTCAAATAAATGTGTGCAGATGTGTGTGATCAAGTAATGGACCCAGTAACAGTTACTGCCCCACCTTCAGGATGCCTCTGAACCACTGGAACAAAGCCATTCTGTGCAAGGTAGTGAATTCTGGGCAAAGGATTTTGTAGAAAGAGAACAGATTTATTGCTCTTTACTACACTGTCCTTAACTAAAACAAATAGGAGTACCTTCAGTTGGGTAATATGTATTTTACTAGGTTGATGTATTTTTTAGTAAAAGGAGAAACTACTGGAATCAGGAATATTAGATATTTCATTATATGTTTGAATCTACAAAACTATACATAAGCCAGTTTTCTTCAACAGATTTTCTTTAACCGATCTGCCTGGCAACTAATGAAGAGCAAGAGCTCCTCCCTCCCTCCTCTCCCCACTGCACAAGTCTGTTAAACTATGAATTGGATTCAATAAAACCATTTAAAAAGAAAACTGGAAGACATAATCACTCCATTTTGAGCAAATGGGAAGTTTAACCTGTGATGCATCCAGTGACATTACTAGAGCATCCCACAGTTTTTCCTCTGTTTGCCGACATGACAAAGAAAGAAAAACTTGCTATAGTTCAGTGCTAGAACACATGAAAAAGGTCCAAGTACTTCTGCATTGAACTAGAAAAGTTTTCTGCCAAAATCTCTAAAAAGATGCTGAAAATCAGTGCAGACCAGCCTTCTCTAACCCTTCCAGATGTTCAGGAACACAACTACCACAAGCCACAGCCAACACAGTCAAAATTTAGGGATGATCCAAGTTAGAGTCCAAAACATCTTGGAGGTATCAGGTTGGGGAAAGCTGGTTTAGAAAATAGCAAACTAAATAGATAAGTTGTATATCTAGGTCAGTGTTACTCTATTTCCATACTGACATAAAGCATAGCTTTCTACATGCCATGGCTGGATTCATAGCTGGTTTCAATGATTTTTCATCATTGGTACCTCTTCCTTTTGCCTAAATTTTACTTGTAAGTGACTTGTAACTGGGCCTCCATTAAACCTTAGATGGAAGGAGGAGGAGGAGGAGAAAGAATGAATAGTAGGAACCCTGGTAATCATTCCAGGGTTGGAACTTCATTTAGCTAATACTGGGACTGTAGGGTGAGATTTCAGGTCAACATCCTGTGCACCAAAAAGGCTGGTGAATGTAGCCTACATTTTCAATTATCCCATGGCTTAGCCAAGTTGGCTGAAGATGATGAGAACTGTAGGCAGCATATTTGGAGGGCAGAAAGATGTGGAAGACCACCCAAGACACAACATCAATAACATTTCAGAGTCCAGTGGAGGTTCAGCCACCAACCTTCCCTGTGCTTGGAAATCATGTAAGCTCAGGAAGCATAGGAAAGGAATATGGAAAATCTGAAACTAGGAAGAGCCAGTTCTGAGTTGAACCTAAACTTCTGAGGAGTTTGGGACATATTTGGCATTGGTTTGAATCGTTCAAGCTAAAATATAAGTTGTAAACTCACATTCACTGCAACATGGCTTCAAGGGTTTCAGTCGCATTACTTATTTTAAAAATCAATTACATGTTGGCAGTGTAAGAAACTCTTGATCCTCCCTGTATTCTATATGAGAAGGGGGGGAAAGCACATATGAAGATGTATTGGTCAGAATATTTTCCTGTAGAATGTCAACACTTACTGTGTGGAGGAATCAGCAAATCAGGTGTTCGAAATGACTTAATGGTAGCTGGCCCCTCACCTCCTGTTGTCAGCACTTGCACTTCTAAACGATAAAGAGTTGATGGCCTCAGGTTGGGCACCGTCAGTACATAGTGATCCTTAAAGGAAATGGCAACAGTAATTCCAAGTGAGATAGGGCATACCTGATTGAAGACGTGTGCTATCGTTGTGCACACACAACTGCCTCATTATCTGTTCCCTCCTATCCCACCGATGTAGCAGACACTTACTACTGGCAATATTTGTGACTGGGAAATAATACTGTTGGGTAAGCTGTTCTGCCTGCTCTCTGTTGTAACCTCTGCCCAAGTGACCTGGAACCCTGTCATGGGTTGCTGAAGGTTTGCTTTGGATATTTTCCAGGAAAAATGGCCAGTAATGTTGATGTCCTGAACAATGAATGAGGCAGAAAGATTCTCTGGTTTTGCCAACACTTTGGGGATAACTGGAGCTGCAAAACACACATACCACCACAAAGCATGAAACAATTTGTCAGGATTTCTATCAAGATTTTAAGAACAATTCTCTCTTTCTCTCTCCACACACACGAACTTCAGCTCTGCAGATCTTATTCTGAATTGGAAAACAATTCAGAACAAAGCAAGATTATAGCTCAACTTTAAACTGTGGTTTAGGGAACCGGTATTTTCTGATTCTGGTAAACATTTATTTATTTATTTATTTATTTATTTATTTATTTATTTATTTATTTATTTGCATTCATTCATTTCAGTATCCTGACTTTCTTCCAATACTACAGCATCACAGAATCTTGGTTCAGGGAGAAGAGGAAACTGTGTTTAGAGACTCTGATTTAAATGTTAAAAAAAGCAAAGACTGTGAGCTCAGTCTAAAAGCTCATTCCTATCATAGCATAATGAGACAAAATACCTTTGCCTAAAGACAGCCAAGTTGCACTAATGTTTGCTACTTTTGAGTTTCTGCACCTTAAGACCCATGCATAAATTTAAATAGCTTTTCTCATAATGAATATAAAATGATGGGAAAACCAGGAGAACAAGCCATAGTGTGTCACTAGCAACTACAAGAGTAATATACATTTTGATATGTAACATACTTGCATACTTCTGCTACACAGAACATACTGTAAAGCATGAGTTTACAAAACAGTATGAAGAACAGGAATTGAACATGTAAGTTGATCCCTTTACACTAGTTGGCTTTACCAGTATTATTGTTTGTTAAGTAGTAAGACTGATTTTCTTTCTTTCTTTCTTTCTTTCTTTCTTTCTTTCTTTCTTTCTTTTCAGACAAACATCTTGTTTAGACACTGGTGTTTGGAAATCACACTAAACAGATAATTCCATAGTAAATACTCTGAATCATTTCTGAAAATCACCAGAAGGGATCATTCATTTTACTTACCTCCTTCAGTAGGACAGCTAATATGCTTGTACTTCTTCCCTTTAAGATCAGAACAAGGTGGAGTAGAAAAGTAAATACTTTCAGTCTTTAAGCGCCCTTTGGATCTTGCTGGCTGGACTGTAACTTTGTATTTACATGAAAATGAAAGATCCTGGAGAATGATATAGTTTTCCTATAAAAAAGATAGTTTATGTATCCATCCATTTGGTATCTTCCCCTTGCATTTGTGCTCAGATTAAATGCTCACTCCCAACCTTACTTCCAACAAAATATAAACAGAATATTCACACACACACACAATGAGTTATTTATCTCATTATGAATCTATTCTACTCAAATGAATCTTTTCTACTCAAATGAATCTTGTTTTCCTTGCCCTTATCTAAGCCAGAGCTGTCTTCTAACACAAGTTCAGTGAGTCTACCACCATCCTAGGACTAAATGATTCAAACAAAAAGGTTGAAATGAGCATCATCAATTTACAGCTGACACATCTACCTAAACCTCAGTGTAGATGTTAAAAGGCATGTGAGAAAAGATGAATCCTGCAGCACTCTAAGCCAAGGGTGGAACTGTAATGTTTTAGCACCACCATCCAGGACAGATGGAAACCACCGGAAGGCAGTGACTCACTGATATATAGGAAAAGTGGACAGTTCTCTTTATACATTAACAGAACACTGAGGAAAGAAAAGAGGAAGGATTTGGTATAAGCAAACACAAACTGGAAAGGCTGAGGACTTTGGCAAAACAGAGAAGAAACAAATGTCAAAAGTCGGGAAAAAGCGTTAAAGCAAAGAGGGGTAACATACAGTCTTTCAGTCACACCTATACCCACTACACCCTGAAATAACACCCGACACTACAAAAAAATTGAAGGAAAAATGGCATCAGGAGTCATTACAGAAAGATAAAATGGTTAGTTTTGGCTAGGAAACCAGCTAAATTAAACTGTTTTCACACTCTGTAAAGCTATGGAGCAGGTTGTCACTGGATCTCAGTTGCAAATTGCCAGCTTCGGGGGGGAGGTGGGGTTGGGGGGGGTACTCTGTGGCAGGCCACACACCAGGGGTAAACTCCTAATCCTCTGATGAAGTTGTCCACATTTGCTTCAAATGTAAAGGACTCCGTTGTTCAGAGATGGGGCATGAGGAAGCAATGGGATCTTAAGGCTTTGGCTCTTCCATATGATTTTAGGATTGTGCCTTTGATTCTATTTCCAATTGTTGATTATGAGAACTCAACTTACATAAGTTATGCCATCAGATTTTTCAAGCCCCTTTGTTTCATTGTGTAGACAAGACTCTGGGAACCACTGAACATGGTATCTGCTGCTGCTTGAATCTAATGGAACAAAATGAGAAATATGATTTAATTGTTAAAGACATCTGCAACTGTTTAGAATTTTTTTTAAAAAACAAAACCATTAGGCACATCACAGGTGTATAAACAGGAAAACATAATAGCTGTCAGTCTCTTGCCATTCAGAAGGGAAGGGAGAAAATGTCCCAAGTAATTACACTCAGAATGTCACAGCTAAGCCAATATGAAACACACATATATATGAAAGCACCAGTTCCTAGATCCAAAAACACTTGGGGATTAATAAAGATGTCTATGTTAACTATCATACTGCTTATACATACAGAAGATTGCAATGTTGCTGCATGGGATCATTCAGAAAGTTACCCTTTAGGATACTGGATAATTCTCCTTAAAACTTGATGTCTCAAACGGCTGCAAGACATAGGAAGCCATCCAACATAGGTATTATTAAAGAATGTATTACAAACTTATGGAATTATGCTGCAGTCATGGATATTATTCAGACTAGATGGCCCGGGAGACCCTTCTGACTTGCTCTGTTTTCTATGTTTCTATGTTACTTAACTCTAGAATGATGAATGGGAGAACATTATATGAGCAGAGCCAGCTTGTGCCGGGGTTCATATTAGATGGCCCAGGAGATCCCTTCTGACTTGCAATGTTTCTATGTTTCTAACACAAAACTAAATAATTGTATTATCAGCTGATCACCATTTCTGATCTTCTGCAGATAAAATGCTGTTTATTCCACCACTTTACAATATTATTTTTAAATGTTATGAAGAGGTTCTTTTTCTTTCCTTGCCCTTTCATTGCATTGCCTATAAACATGGTCCTTCTTTCCTTGATAGTTTGGATATATTTTTAAAAAATCTTATTGTGAATATTTTCTCTTTCCATTTTGCTTTATGAAGAATAAATGGAAAATTGTCTCTGGAAGGGAAATTCATCTCAGATGATTGCTATGTTTGGATGTCACAATAAACTATAGTTTATTATGATGGGATTGACCCTATCCTCCTTCCAAGCTTTTCCCTCCCACAAATGCTGTCTGCGTAACAGAAAAATTGCTCTGTTATGGTCCAAAGTGCAGCCAAGAGCATCTTCATGTTGACAATGAACACTTTTAGTCTGACCCCTTTTAACATCTTCCTTCCGTTGATAATCAGTAAACAAATTTGCCATTAACCTTGTAAGACACTGGATTAAAATGTCAATTTGTTTTAACTTTCTTTGTAAATTCGGGTGGGGGGGGACATTAGAAGGAATGAATGCATATTTCAGAATAGCACTGGAAATACAAAGTGATTGATAATTTCTGTTCGTATGCATTCATGAAAATGGCAATGTATCATATGAGATTTGTCATATCTATTATAGTAAAGACAAAATACACAAAAACTAGCACTATGTGTAATAGAATCCAATAACTAGCTAAAATTAAGCAACAAGGTATTTAAGATCACTTACTGCAACATATTTTAACCTGTTACACTTGAATGAATGACTGCCAGGAAGTGGTGACTATAATTATGGATGCTTTTGGTCAGACATTATTTCCTACACATGGCTAAATCCCTGGACCACTTATACATCTATTTACAGAAGCCTGAATCAGCTCTGACAGCTAGCCTAGAATTGAAGCAAAAAGGAGGAAAGAAATCAGGGAAAAATATAGAAACACGGGACAAAGAACTTGAACAGAAGTTTGAAAAGGAGTATGTTTCTTTTATATATATAATGTTCAATTGTTAGCAACTGCTTGATGCTTTAACTCCTGTTTAGAAATTCATCCAGGATCATCTTTAGTAATATTGCAATTTTCCCCTAAATAAAATGTTTGTCAAAACATGCCTGTTAAACTCTGAAAACCTATGTTTCTTTCCAGGGATATTCTACCTTAATCCCCTCCTATAAATCTTTCCAGCTTTGCAGACCAGGTGAATAATTTGTTCTAACATTGTTTATTACTACTGTCATATTTTTGCAGATAATTGCTTTTTTGTCATTTCCCCTCACTCCTGAAGAGTGCCAGCTGAAATAACTTTTCATTCCAAAGATTCTTTCTGTATCTCAAATAAGTGGATTCGCAAGGTCATGCCTGAAAAGGCCTAATGTCTGTACAGTGTAAGGAGGTCTCTGAGGCATTCAGAATTAAATTATTTAATTCAAGATGCTTCCTTTAAATTTAACATAAAACTAATATATTAAAACAACATTCACCAAATTTCCCCAGCTTCTGTTTAAATCGCTGATCTTCTCAACCGATTTTAACTCTAACATTTCCAATGCAAAAAGTGTTTCTGGGACCACTTGTAAGAGCTATTATAGATACTAAAATATCTATAAGAGATATTATGGTCAAAGACCACTGTTATATATAGAAAAACCACAAAAAACCAATGTCTGCTGCTAGCCCTAATCCCAGGTCCAGAGAAGGTTGCCAACATCTGCTTACAGAAGTGGAGTAGGGAATGGCCTCCAAGCAGTCTCTATGCTATTGCACCAAAGAACAGATTCGTTCATTTCTATTACTATCACACCCATGCATAAATCTAAAGGAGCCCTGCCTTTCCCACCAGCAACTAGTCAAGGCAACTAAAGAAATCTACCACTGTGAAATAATAATAACAATACATGATTCTTGAAAGAACAGATTTGGCTACTCCCTCTAATGCAGATAAGTTTAATTTGTTTAATAATCACAGAAGTGATAGAAAATAGTTTTATTTCGACATCAATTAATCTTGCCTTTAAAGTTTCTCAGAGGTTTTTGAAGAGGAAGAAGTCAAACCAAGAGGTTATTTCAATAAGAGCTACTGGAGAAGATCTGGAACTATAATAAGACCAACATTTTGCTTAGAAGTTGGCATGGATAGTTTTAATTTTTTGCTTAAATGTCTATTGTCCAGAAACAACTTTCATACTGTTCATATATTCTATATCTTCTGTCAGCAATGTCATTAAATTGTTATGCATCATTCCCCATGACGAAGCACCCACTTTTCATTTGCAATCAGCAAATTCTCTCTGATAGTTAATAAACCTGTAAACTTCATGCATATCAGGCTTGTATTTAAAGCAAACAATGTTCACCAACATAAGGGAAAGTCTTAAGTCCATCTGCTAATGCCCTATAAGTAAAGAAAAATCAAATGATGTATATGAAAACAGTATGGCATAACAAAGATCTATATGAAAACAGTATGGAGATTACACAGAACTGTGTGGGAGCCCAACAATTACTTCCACACTAGTTCCAGTGGAAGTATGACTGTTTAGTGGCTTAATAGCATTCCATACTCTGAACATGGTAGGCTATTTAATTGGTATTAGGTCCTGAAAGGAAACATAGTGTTGCATGCTACTTATCAGTAATTTCTTTTTAAGGCAGTGACGCAGCACAGAACATTTTGCAGTGCTTTGTTTTCACATGAAAAATTTGCTACTTCTTAAGTTCATTACTAAAAGTGAGTGCCTGCCAGATACAAATACAATATAAGCTTTGCAGTTCTGAACATGAAATTACTGTTCTTCAGCTGATTTACCTAATCAAGTTTGCAAAAGAATACAGAGTTGTCTTTCATATATATGTATATATATGGCATATATGTATGTATGTATGTATGTATGTATGTCTCTGTAACAGTAATGAAACTAACAGTAACAGTGAAATTTAAGTGCCTTTAAAGAAACTAAGATTACATTGCAGGGACATTTTAACTGCTCTGTTGTGCTGTGCTTTGTTTCAGCCATTTAGGATTTATAGGGATTATAGCAAAGAAAAAAAGTTGTTATTGGAGGATTGCACCTGAAAAGCTTCTTACTGTAAGTACGGCATGCTGGAAAATTGGCAATTACTGTCACCACTAGGAGGTGAAAATGAAGGCAGGTTCTCTCTATTTAGATGGGAAGAAAGGGTTAAAAATGGTACCATCATATTGGGGAATAAATGAACTTTAAGATGCATGTTGGTTGAAAGTTTGCACACAATTGGGATAACAGAAGTATGCCCATCCAAAATCTGATTGACAGGAGCTTTGACTAGAAATCTCTAAGGAGCAATGGAAAGCGTCTAAGTCTGAGAGCAGAGTGTCAAGAAGAATCTGGCTAAAATGTTGCCTGAAGTGTCTTCATGAGAGTCTGGAGAGCTTGCAAAGACATCAGCCAGGAGGATGAACAGCTACAAGCCTGGAAGGCCAAGAGTAGAACACCATGAGGCAGACTTGGAAGAAGGTCTGTAGGTGGGAAATGGGGAGACTCCTGGATTAGAGCTGAAGACACCAAATGCAAAGCTCTGGAGATTAAGCAGTTGCTGATCTAGTTATAGTAAAAACTGACAAGAAAGAAGACTGTCATTCAAATCCTCAGGCTACAGCTGTGAGTTATCTGACATGGAGCTTGGTTGGTTTAGGGTACCTCTGTAAAAAGGGGCTTTTAATATCTGACGTGTAGCATTAACTCCACAGAAACCCTATTTAAAAGTAGTGAAGACATTCTTTAAATAATGAACTTTTCTGTTTGCCTTTTAACAGACCATTATATAACTTTGCTTACTTTTCTGGAACCTTTAATTTGTTTTGTCTCGAATCAGTTGACTCTACGGGAAATTGTGTATGTGAAATAAAATCTGTAGAAGCTTTACCCAGTGATCCTCCCTGTGGACCAGGGAGTCTGAGTTCTAGTCTGCTCAACCATGAAGCTCACTGGGTGACTTTGAGCCAGTCATTTACTCTCAGCCTCAGCCTCACTCACTGAACAGGGTTGTTGCTGTGAAAAAAAATCAGAGCAGAGGAGGGCTATGTAAGCCACCCTGGTGCCTCACAAGAGGTGGGATATAAATGCAAGATGATGAAGATGGTGTTGAAGATGATGTAACAGTAACCTAAAATAAGTTTCAATGGCAGTGAGAATGGACACAGGAACATTGGAAGCTGCCTCTTATTGAGTCAAACCACTGGCCTGTGAAATCTAACCAGCTTTGAAACTACCTTTTTTTTCCAAGAGCCCTATTAAAGGATATCAGAAGGTACAGACTACCACAATAATCATATGAAAATACAAACACAACAGTGCTAATTCTGCACAACACTTGCGTAAGACAAACCACTTTGGCTTTCCCTAGTATACAGTTGTGTATAAAGAGTGAGAAAAAATATTACTCAATAGAAATTTTCAGTATTCTGGAAGCATTTATTCCAGCTACTAAGATTACAAAGTCTCTGCCAATTACACATATTGTGTGTGTGTGTCATGAATGTGACATGGGTGTCTCTCCAACTTTCTTGCCCCAAAGTGAGCAAGGTGTGTCTTTAAGACTCTGTCTCTGATATACAACCTAAAGAACATTCTTTTGTGCATCTTGATTGATCCCATGATAACCATCCTCAATCTGGGACCATATGCAGTTAAAGGTATTTCTGGCATGTACGTCCAATTGGACTCTAAGCTGTATGGAAAAGTGTTTTGTTTCTTTTCTTTCCATGCTATTTCCATTTGACTTTCCTTGTTAATAAAGCTGTTCTTGCAGAAACTTGAGCCTTTTGACTGTTCGTACAAAAACTTGAGCCACTGAATTATGCTGCATTCCAAAGAGCAGAAAGGAAAGGAAAAGAGACAGGACTTGCCTCAATGACAGGAAGTCCACTGTTCACTACTCTGCTCTGTCCTGTAAGTTCTAGGCATTCCTCTACATCCATTGTGAAGGCATAGGAGAGAGGGCGGCAGGTAGAAGTTCACAAAAATTGGATACACTTAGGTTGTGTGGCTGGCCTAGTCTGAACATATACTTCATCTCAATGAGAAACACTATCAAGGGGCAGCCCACACTGATAATATCTGAGCCAGCCTTCCTTGTATAAGATGTTATTTAACTATAAGGCAAAATCAACTTCAACAGGTAATGTTTGGGGGAAAATATCCTTTTTAATGAGCAAATTTAAATACATTTGTAGCAGATTTGTTTGCTTTCCCATGGTGCTTTTTTATTCCCTATAGTTTTACCAAGTAATCTGGCTTAGCTGGATATCCAGCATAGTTTAGAACTCTTTCCCTTGTCTTATATAAAGTATTCTTTGCTTTATGCACTAGATAAATATTAAAGTAAGTAGTTAAAACTGATGCCAAGTTTCACTGCACTATAATAAATGACCCTTTAACAAGATCAAAGGGGTGGACAATCTGACTCAGACAAACACAGACAGCCACACCTCCCGTAATGTAAAGGTAAGCTGACACAACAGTCTTTTCTGAGGAAGAATTCCAGGTGAAGTGAAATGTGATTCCTAAAAAAAATAATTTACAGGTTAAAGCCACAGTGGCAAATATTTGCATGCTACACTAAGTGAAAGCTTAGCACCACATGAACAAGCCGAAACAACCCATAGTGACTCTCTGATTCACATATCCCCCTTCTCCTTCTCCCACACAGCCAGGGTTAAAGATTTGGAAACTTTTGCTTCCACTTTTGCTGGCTTGTCATGTCAACCAAAAGCTGTAGTTAACATAACTATGTTTTGAAACAAGTCAACTTGAGCCCTAAAATCCTAAGCACACCATTATCTGTGAAACCCAGCACCCATACTTCGTATATTTGGACTTTAACACCATCATGAACACCATTAAAAGTGGAATTGAGAGAGTTCTCCACCTACCGTCTGTCTTTTTCCAGTAAACTTTCACCTGAAGCTGATCATCTTGATAAAAAGGCACTCCAATTTCAAGAGGACGAGTGGGCCTTCTGCCTTTGAAGGATGGAAGAGCATCAGTTGCTTTCCCAACAGGAGAGAGCTGATCTTCTACAAGACAAAATATTCCCAGAAAGGTCCATGTTTCCAAAGAATATTTCCAAAGGCACTATTTAAATTATACTTAGTTCAGTATAAATTGTTTAAAAAATTACTGCACGAAGTATAGACGTCAAAGGAAACTATTCATATAAGAAAGCTGCAGCTGAAACAAAGCCATATCAAAACTCATTTGGGTTTGCAAACTGGCATGTGACGAGAGACAGCAAATGTATGGAATAAGTTTCTCTGTTTTGAGAACACAAAAATGAACTTCTTGGCCTTGCTGCAAAATGCTCTGTGTGGTTCAAATTCAACAGTGCCCATTGCCCTGAGAATATCTTTGCCACAGTGAAGCAAAGTGATGGTAGCATCCTGTTGTCTGGATGTCAGGATCTTTTCCTCATCTGGAAAACTGATCAGGATGAGGGCAAGATGGACAGAGCTAAATATAGAGCAATTATAGAGGAAAAGGTGATTCATTCTGCTAAGGACTAGTGACTGGGAAAAAAGTTTAACTTCCAGCAAGACAGTGATCCTAAACACACAATCATAGAAACACTGGAGTAGTTCAACAAGAGCTTGAATATATCAGAAGGCCAGTGAAAGCCCAGACCTCAATGTGATTGAGAATTTGTGGCAAGTCTTGAAAGTTGCAGTTCACCAACCAATCCACTGAAGCTGGGAAAGTTTTGCCAGGAAGAATGGACAAATACTGTAACATCCAGATGTGCAAAGCTGATAAGAGACTCTGCAGCTGTAATTGCTGCAAAAGACAATACCAAGCATTGATGAAGGGGGCAAATCCCTATGCAACCAACAAGTGTCAAGTTGTTTTTGTGCCAGAATAAACATTCACTGCTGAATATCTTGTGTACTTTATTTATTTAAAAATTGGACCATCTGAAGTATCCGGACTGTCTTCAAGGGCAGGTAGAACATGTTACAGTAATCCAAGTGGGAAGTAACCAATGCATGTGTCACTGTTGCTAGGCAGTTCTCCTCCAAATGGATACAATGCCAATTCAACCCACTTTAATTTTTGGTCATAACACAACAAAATATGGAAAAGCCAAAGCAGGTGCATACTTCTGCAAGGCACTGCATGCCAATGAGTGATCAGTTACTTAATTTGGTCAAGAATAGACATGAACGTCACCTGAGAACAATGTGCTGAATTTGATGCCCCTAGGCACTCAGTCCCTGACCTCAATGTACCTAGGCAGGTGGGCAATTCAAAAGACCTTCATGGGTTTAATGTTAAGGTCCGCAGTTTTCCTAGTTGTGGGAAAGCTGGAATGCACATTCAACTAAACAAGCTTACAGGACCTTGTGAAGCATTATGCTAAATACACATATACAGGAGCTAGGCTCATGAAAGGTTTGAGGCAGGACTTGTGTGTGCAGCTTTACCCTCAGCACACCTTTACACCTCAAGTGCGAAGGCTGAAAGTCTGTCTCCTCCCATAGGGATGACAGCATGTCTGCTTTCAGAATGTTCTGATGGTATCTTCATATCCAATATTTTGTCAAGAAACCCTACAGATATGGATTATATGTGTATATATACCTCAATGGTGCCTGAATGTTTATAAACCAAACAGTACTACAATTTATTGCTAGATGATCCCTTTATACAGTTTTACAAGAATGATGAAAAGAAAAAATCCAAATATTTACCCAAGTTTTTTTTTCTGAGGTTCATTTCCTTTCTGCTTTTTTTTCAAGCATACAGCACACAGCAACCACAAATACTCATGGAGTATCATTATATGTACTTGTAACCAAAGGGAATTGAATGAATTGCAGTCTTTATAAGTTCACAGGATTCAGATAACTCAACATTCAAGACAAAAACAGTATTTGGCTAAATCTGATACAGAACATTGCATCTAGAGCCAACCAAAGCAGCAGTCAGTAAAATGATAAGCTTTATCTTTGACAGCCAGTGTAATTAACTAAACTGGAGCAGAAGATGTGAAAAAAAATCAAAGATGAATTAAATATCCAACTTCACATAGATATAATTCCTCCCATTTTCTGAGGAAATAGCAAAGGTTAAACAACCGTAATACAGTGTTTTTAAAGACAGATGTAGTGATGGAAAAGAATGAATTATTTGTTCACATAGCACCTAGGAAATGGCAAAGAGATTTTAGTGAGAATGATATATTACATTTCATTCATACATAATTAAGCTAAAATCCTGCCCAAGGAGTCATGATGTATAATCCCTATTAAACCTAATCTTAGGTAATCTGCATGACCATAATGCCCATATGCTTGCTATTCAGACAAATAATGGAGAGAGCCATCTTAAAACACTCACCACCATCTAGTGTCTCTCACCTGTCAGTCATAGATCTGAAAAAAATCTGCCCTATTAGTTCAGGATGACAAAAAATAGGCTGTAGTAAGTGATGTGTCATCATCAATAGGTCCAGTTCTTGGTGATTCTGCCAATCTAACATATAAAGCCTAAACGGCTTGGGTCCTGGCTACCTGAACGAGCGCTTACGTCCGTATATGCCCGACCGCCCTTTGAGATCTGCGGGAGAGTCCCTTCTCTGGGAACCCTCCATGAAAGAAATTAGGAGAGTAAGTACCCGGAGGAGGGCTTTCTCTGCGGTGGCGCCCAACCTATGGAATTCACTCCCCAAAGAGGTCCGCCTGGCACCGTCGTTACTGGTTTTTCGGCGCCAGGTAAAGACCTTTTTATTTAAACATCATTTCAATTGTTAAAACATATGATCTGGCCTGGGCAACTTCTTCTTCCTTCTCTTTCTCCTCCTATATTTTTATTTTATACTGATAATTTTAATTTTGTATTTGTAAATCAATGTATTTTTTGTATTTTTATATTTAACGGTAATTTATTATGTACTATTGTATTTCAATGTATTTTATCATGTTGTAAGCCGCCCTGAGGTTTCGGCAAGGGGCGGCATAGAAATGTTATAATAATAATAATAATAATAATAATAATAATAATAATTCACTAACCATATGAAAAAAGCAATCAAAGATCAGGCAGATAACAACCTTCATAGAAATATAATCCATGAAGGGCAGGGAGGAAGGCTAACAGGATCAAGAAAATATTAGAGTATATTCACAAATAGCTAAATGAGTGAGTGTAAATCTAGCTGTGGTGATGGAAAGCAAGAGCTGCCCTTGAAGTGAACGTACACTGATAAGACCACAAAACTCGCATGGAAATGTTATGGTAACTGAACCGAGATCACCAAAGATTGTATATGCTGGTAGTTGAACACCATCTGCAGTGGGGGACTGATAGCCATCAGAAAAGGAATCTGTAACAATAAGTATCTTTTCCTGATAGTTCTAATGTGTGTAAGGAAAGTAGCTGAGGTATTTCAAAGCCTCAGAGAATATGTGCCAAAATAGTGGAGTCTGATTCCACACACACATGTACAAGTACATGCGTGCTGAATGCAATCCTTGCACTATATCAATCTAATTACTGTATAAAACAGTATGTTCTACTGCTAATGGATTCCTGCCCAATTTAGACTACTCAAAATGATCTGCGATTCAAACATGTACCACTGGTTTCATTTTGTATATTTATGTACAGAAGTATCTCCTCAAACAAGTGTCTACACTTTTTAGGACTTTATCCTAAAAAATACCACTTACTGTTGTTAACTGCAGTCTGAGTAGAACTGAAGTAGAGAGACACTTTAGCACTTTTGAGCCGTACTTGACCCCAGTATGTCACTGCTTGCAATTCCACCATGTAATTACTGTTGGGTTGGAGACCCTCAAGGACTACGTAATTCTGGGCCTATAAACGAACAGAACAGAACAGAATAGCACAATTCAGCTATAGATTCATTCAAAACTGTCACTTCAGCAGTTGAATCTTTATCAAAGAAAAGGTGGTAAAAGTACATTTTGGGATCTTTGACATCAGTTTAGGCAGGTTCAAATATGGTAAATCAGAAGTAGTATACAAATATTTTAAATTTATTTATTTATTTATTTATAAAATTGGTATGCCATACAATTACTTGTGTCTCTGGACGGCTAACAGCATAAATAAATTGACAATCCACTCTGGCTGCAAATTAATAAAATACAACAATAAAATTCAGTATTAAAACTTATTAAAATATTGATGAAATATAAAGGTCTTGACCTGGCGCCGAAAAACATATAGTGACAGTGCTAGGCAGACCTCTCAGAAGAGCGCATTCCATAGTTGGGGTGCCACCACAGAGAAGGCCCCCCTCCAGGTACTTTGTCTCCTAATGTTCATAGGAGGAGGAGGGCTTCTGTTGCTGTTCTCAGGGGGCAGGAAGGGAAATAGGGAAAAAGGTGTTCCTTTAGGTGTCCTGGTCCCAAGCTGTTTAGGACTTTATAGGTAATAACCAGAACCTTGAATTGAGCCCGGACTTCGATGGGAAGCCAGTGGAGCTGATAGAGGACTGGGGTTATATGAGAATAATGCCCAGTCCCCGACAGCATCCTGGCAGCTCTATTCTGGACCATCTGAAGTATCCAGACTGTCTTCAAGGGCAGCCCCACGTAAAGTACATTACAGAAATCCAACCGGGAAGTAGCCAATGCGTGTGTTACTGTTGCTAGACAATCCTCCTCCAGAGGTAGGGATGCAGCTGATCGATTAGCTGAAGCAAAAGGAAAGAGCTCCTCGCCACTGCTGTCACTTGGGCTTCCAATGACAGCTCCGGGTCGAGGAGCACTCCCAAGCTGTGCACCCTGTCCTTTAGAGGGAGTGCAACCCCATCCAGGGCAGGGCCCAAGTCACCTACCGAGGAGCTGAGTAGAGCTGTAAGTGTACATATAACCTGTTCATCTTATAGAGCAATTTAGCTTAAGTAGGTTAAATAAAGGTATGTAAAGTTCTATGTTCCTATCACATTCTGAGGCATATATATATAAAGCAAGACAGAAGAACTGATGGAAAAAATAAGCAATACTTATTTTTCATTGATTACTAAAGATTAGATTATTAAACCATGCAATCCTATGTGGGTGTACTTGGAAGTAAATTTCACTATAGTGCTTGTACTTCAAAGAAATACATTTAGGGTTGGAGCTAAAAGCTATCATTTTAGCTTCTGTATCACTAAAAAAAAGTGTCACATCTTTTTACTCCTTCAAACGTTCAGATTTCAAGGAACAACTTATTTCAGTTTTTTAAAGAGAAAGACTAACATCTGTTTTAGTTGATTGTGCTTTGAACATTTCAGCTAGGAGTAATTTACAAGTCACAACCCTGGTTCCATGTTCTGAGCCAGCAATGAGACTTACTAAGACTATATCAAGATTTCTAAAAGCTGATATCTCAGTTAAAGTAGCATAGTGCTATAGTTAGCAGTCTGTGTTGAACCAACCAGAAGCATTTGTTTTTCCAAATACAGTAGGACTATATCACACTGTAGTACATTTGATACTATTGTATCTAACTACAGCAGGACTGGAAATAATTCATTCACTACAGAGAGTATTTGTATTTCCTGGCATGTCAATTTTGTCTTCCCAGACATACAAACTGAAGGCTAGTTGCTAATAACTGGTTGTTCCGTATGTGCGTACAAGAAGCATTCCATTGAACATTAAATACATTTCTACTCAGCAAAGAACTGGGATATACCTCCTGTTGTTTTTTTGCATACATTTTGCCTTTTGGCATTGGTCTACAAAACAAGATTATTTGTTTTTTAACCGCCAGTATGTAATGTGCTGGGTTTTCATTAGGACTCATTATTATAATATAAATAGCCTTTTTTCTGAGGCAAAAATATGTTGCATGAGGGTAGATATTAGCTTGCATTATTCTAGTGTTATTTTGCTTTTCCCATGATAAGATCAAGGACGTTTACATATTAGGACACACAGTTTTCTGTAAATCAATTCTAACATTAACCAGCAACTCTAAAAATACCTTAATCCATTCAGAATATTAGAATTATGCAGGAAGATGATTGATATCACCTTGAGCCTTTGTAAGATCACCATCAAGAATTTACTGCAATATGTGCCTATACACAGCTAACTTGTGAGATCAAGCAATAAATTTTCCATTAAGTCCATTTTATATCCCAGTGGGTTATAAGCTTCTTCTTAAGTATATCTTATTCTTATATTTATCTTAATATAATCTGTCCCTCCTGTTTATATGGTTTACTCTTAAATATATTAAACTGAAAGTCTTTCATATTAGGAAAAAGCTAGAAGGAAATCAGCACTAGTATTGAAACATACATGCAAACTACGAGTCCCTCTTTTTATCTTTACCCCATCTGTAGTCTTCCTTCTCTTCTTTTTGGCTGGAACAAGAGACTTGCTGTTGACTGTCCAACTCCAGAAGACTTTGTAATGGTGGACCGGGATGTCAGGTTCCTCTGGGAGGTCCCAAATGATCCTAATACTTACAGTTCCATCACTGTTTACAGTAGAGTTGGCAATTTGGAGGTTAGATGGCGCAGGTGGTGCTGATGGATCTGGTAGGGAAAAGCAACAAAAGTTAAGACATTAGCTTCTGTACTCAACACATGTCATTGCTGTCATCATCATCATTAATCATCATTGAAAGAATTATATCAAAATCTGGACAGCTATATGCACTAAGGATAAACTGACACCTTAACAAATGGATCAGCAATGCTTGTGTCCTTGTGTACAACTTATCCTCCATTCATCACATGTCCTTGGTCTTTCAGGCACAAATTGAGATGGGAGCAGTGGATTGCTGAACCTGTATTGCTTTATGAAGTATCTGAGCCTTACTATATCGTTAGACAAAACCTCTAGTAACTTGATCCATGTGTGTGTGTTGCTGGTAACATTGTACAAACATCATTACTCATCACAGGACATATCTGTTGAAGGCAAGAACCTTAGCTTCCAATGTCTAGACCTTGAGCTAAGTGTGAAACCAGCAGATGCTTTGATTACTGAATTTCCTTGGGGCTTTTGTTTTTGTTTTGCTTGTTTTAAGAGAATGTATTACACCTGAGGAGAGGAGAGGAGACTAAATATCAAAATCCAAATAAGTTATTAACCAAATAAAAGTATGCAAATATTTCTCTGTATTTTCAGAAAGGCTTGCACCTGGGTATACTTGCAGTGGGTTCCAACATAACTTTTCTCTTTTTCCTCTTTCACTGAGGCAAAATGACTCCCTCAGCTCTCAAAATAACTCTGCTTTTGTATAAATTTCCTGATATTCCAGCTCCACTGTCAGAATGCTGACATAAAAACTGTACCAAGGATGCTTGACTTATGTCGAGCATCATTATTTTAAAATCCCTGGGAGAATTTCCACATAGAGGTAGCTTTCTTTTAAACGCAGTTGCTTTCCATGTGTAGAGAGCAACAGGAACAGCAAGAGAGGAGAGGGAGGGCAGAACTAGTGGACTCATTCCTGCTTTATATTGCAACAACTATATGGGTACTTGCATTCAATACATATAATGCCAACACAAAATATACTTTCAAAAGTGAACTTAAGCTCCTCGATAAGTTGATCAATACAGAAGAACACTGTTTACTTGAAGATTCAAAAGGCTCTTGAAAAAATCCCTCACAAAAGGTTCTTGAGAAAATTTAACAATCATGCAATAGGAGGAGAGGTCTTTTAATTGATCAATAACTGATTCAAAACTAGAAAGCAGAAGATAGGAATAAATGAACAATTCTCAGAGTTAAGGCATATAAACAGTAGTGTTTTCCAAGTTTTGGGATTAATTTTAGGGATGTACAGTAAAAGGGGTGAGCAGTAGAAGTCCAAATTTGCTGAAAGCACAAAATTATTTAGGAAGGTTAAAACAAAAATGGCAGTGAAGAGCTCCAAAGCATGGGAACAGATGCAAGAAGTATAGAGTGACATATAACAACTGAGGGGTAGGATCCTTGTTGTAGCCCATGCTGAAGAGGCCTGTGTTGGCAGTGACTGTCCAGGAAAAAGATCTTGGTAGATACTTCATTAAAAATGTTAAGCCTGTGTGCAGCTGTTATAAAAAAAATGCAAAACCCATTTAGGGTATCGTTAGGAAAGGGGCTTTAAATAGAACTGTCAATAAAACAAACTCTTCATTCATGCATTGCATTCATAATACTGTATCTTTTTTCCTCCTGTGAGGAATCAACATAGCTTATGTCTTCCTATTCCACTCCACTTTATCCTCACAACAGCAATCCTATGATATAGGTTAGGTTGAGAATCAATGGCTGGCCCAACATCACCCTATGAGCCTAATGGCCAAGTGCTGATCAGAAGCCAGATCTCCTGAGTCATCCATCTAACATTCTAACCACTGTGCCACAGCCACTTTCTCCTATATGCTGTAATTCGACTCACTTGAATAATTTGCTGAGTTCTGACCTCCAGAACTTGAAAGATATTGTGGAGCTGGAACAGGTGAAGAAAAAGGTAATGAAAATGATCAAGAAGCTGAAGCAACTTGGCTATGAGGAAAAGTTACAGTTTTGGGGATATTTAGCTTAGATAAAAGTTGAAAAAGGACATACATAATAGTGATACTTATAATTATGCAAGATGTGGAGAAAGGGAAAATGTTTAAAATACTAAGTTCACCACTACAACTTTAATTCACCAGCCTTAAAAATTAGACAAGTTCATGGAGAATAAAGATATTAATGGCTATCAACAATAACAGTTGCATATTTCTTCTCATATCAGGCACAGTGTCGCTTTGAGTACCTATTGCAAAGAAAATATGAACATGAAAGTGCAGTTGTGCTCATGTTTTGCTTGTGCATTTTCTAAATGAGATAAGATTTTATCCAATCCAGAAGAACTATTTGCCTGTTAAGTCAAGAACAAAAAGAATGATACTACTGGAGAAAGTTGTATCATTGTTTTACTGATTCACAGAATGTACATTTTCATAGTAAGATGAAGAATGACATTTCAAAGATCTGGATTTTACTCCCGGGAAGAAACTTTGCCGAGTATGTTTTTAAAATAAATCTCATAATGACTAGAATACCACTGTTATTGATTATTTACAGAAAAGTTTCTGTAGAAAGGTTTCCTTCAGGGAAAAGCATATATATATATCAAACCTAGCATCAAATTCTTACTAAGGAACCTCTTATGTGTTAAAGAAATTTTAGGAAGGCTACAATGTAAATACTGAAAACTTGGACAGTATGACATGTTTTCATTGAATGGGTATCTAAAATATTACTTGGTATTTTAGTCAAATGTCTCACAGTCCATCTTTAAAAATCTGCTTAGTTGCTGCCTTAAACAGCAATGTAATCACAGTACTCAAATATCAACTGACTCCAGTATGGCATCTAATTCAACCACCACACATGCACCTCAACTGGTTTTTGTTTATAATGCCATTTAATGTTTACAGCTAAACTTAAGTGTAAAAGGAACAGGGAGGAGGTGCTGGGTTCTTGTATAAGCAGTGCCATTTCTTCTGCAGCTCTCACACTGTTCAGGGATTTCTAACACTCTAAAACAGGGGTCTCAAACTCGCGGCCCGCGGGCCAATTGCTGGGCCGGGCGGGGCACGGTGGAGGGGCCCTGCGGCCTTCAAAGCGCGGGCGGCGCCCGGGCCGGCTGCAGGATGAGCAGCCCAACACCACCGCAGTGGTGGAATACTTGATGTGGCCCAGCCTCACTCAGACTCCACTTCCAGCGGCCCCCAGGTAAGTTGAGTTTGAGACCCCTGCTCTAAAACAAATTTGAAGTAGGTCTAGGAAGCAAAATAGAAGGAAGGCTGATTGGTAATAAACCACCTCTCCTCCTTCCATTAGATTGATAGAATCATAGAATAGTAGAAACGGAATGGTTGGAAGTAGCTCTGAAGGCCATTGAGTCCAAGCCCTGCTGCTGCAGGACACCAAGATACAGCATTCCACTTGGGTGGCTGTCCAGCTTCTTTTTCAATGTCTCTAGAGCCAACTCCTGCTCCAGGCAGCTGGTTCCACAGTTGTATTGCCCTGACAGTGAGGAAGCAGTGAGAAATAGAATCTTACATGGATATGCCCCAAATTGTTAAAACCCATATTGTTTAAATACTTATTTGCATGGCAGTATAAATGTTATTTTAAAAATATGGCAAAAAGGAGCTTTTTCTTAAACTGCAGGCCAAAAGAAGTCTTCATTTAAAAGCTAGATATATTTAATTGGACATTTAAAATCGGCATTGACATTTGTTCAATTAATATACAGTGAACAAGATGCTAAATGAGCTTTCCAGGCATGTTAACTTCATCAGATAAACCCCAAGATGAATGATCTCACTGAAAAACTCTCTTTTATGATATACAAACTGACACATTTGCTATTAAAGAAGACTAAACTTCCTATTTAAGGATTTGCAGGATATGAAATAATTATCATGCGAAAAACTGAGAATTTCAATTCATCATGCTCTCATTTCATTAGAATTTGCTCAAACTCCATTTAGGTTTTAAAGACAGCAAGTAAGTTTATTTAAAATTCTAAGCAAGCAAAAATGGTTCACATGATACTAAATACTACTTCTTTATAGATTCTCAAAATGGTGCAGCTATCAAGACAGTACCTCCCCCTTCCTCAATTGAACAGATAATAGCTATCACAAGACAAAACAGCCTTTTCAAACAGTGGCTGCATTCAAAATACTGTTTAACTAATGTTTACATTAGACTTGGTTTGTTGTTTTAGCCATGATCTGACAGGCAAACAAACCATACTTAGTTTTGCCTATTTCTAGCTTGTATCTGTCCAACACAGCTTTCAGAATGCTTTCATTTTCATGCTGTTCTTGTTAGATCTGTTTTAGGGTGGATGCCACTGTAAATAAGGCAGGATAAGCCACAGGTCTGGATTCAGATCTCACAGGAAACCAAGACAGCCGTTATAAGTCAAGAGCAAGCCATGTTTTTATTTGAAGTTTGTATCTAGTTAACACACGGTGGTTTCTTTGCAAAAATAAGATTGACCATAATGAAAATCCAGATGCTGGATTTGTTTTGTTGTAAACTTTGATAGCTGTGAATAGTACAGAAAAGCAGTAAATAATGAATAAATTAAATAAATTTCAACAAGCCACAGAATAATTTAGCATGTGCAATCAGTGTTATCTTAAGGCATTTCTACCTGAACAGACACCCAGTGTTATCCTATGCTGCCAGAACTAACATGATAGGAAGTCTTGCATAATTATAAACAAGCTTCTGCCTTCATTTATCTTCCCTCATGGTGCTGGCTGAAATAGGTTGCTTTCAAAAGATTTGTATTAAATTAATATAAATCAAGGACTTCTAGCACAAGTTATCTACTTTCTACCTTTATCTATCCCATTTTTGTGCTTATTAACAGATTCTCATGTTTGTGTTTTGCATCCCAAGTTTGCAAACCAGGTAATATTGAATATGCTTCAGATTAAAGTCTGTAACAGCCCTTGCATTCAAGTCAATGAATTGGCTCTAGTCATATCTATATTTGGAGTTGGGCTTTCTTAAATCAGTTATT